TGATTCTCTACCCTTATGAGCTTTCACCTCTGCATTCTCAAGAGAGATCATGCTGATAGGGTAGCAGTTATGTTTACATCTTCCATTCTCCAACATGGGGAGATGACATGGTTACTTAAATATTATAGGGGGGCCTCCCCTTAAATATTATAGGGGGCTCAACCCAGCGGTTGAGCGCTGGGTTTTGAAGCTGCCCGCTGCCTCTGCAGCGCCGGTTCCATCCCCAGCTGCCCCCCCCCGCCCCCCGGCCACCAGAGGAGGGTCCCACATGGTGGCGCAGACCTCTCCTGACGCCCGCTGCTCCCCTCAGCAGTGTACTTCGGTCCTTCTGCCTGCTCTGCTCCCCGCTCTGGCTCTGGTGAATTCTCTCACCCTCCCGCGCTTCTGACTGTACCCAGTGCTTGCATAAGTAAATAAATAAATAAATAAATAAATGAATAAATAAATAAATAGTCTTAAAAAAATATATTATAGGGGACATGTGCCTTTTATGCTTTCAAGATATTATCAACATTGATCCTTAACCCTGCCAGGTATTACCTGAAAGTGTTTTTCCATGGTGAAGGTATGCTTATTCAGCACTTTAAAGTAAGTATGGAAAACTCTCTTTCACTCCCTGTTACCACCAGTCTGGATTTACATTCCATTTGAAAAGACTTGTCACAAAGGATGAGTTTGCAGTTTAGTTACCTTAGTGACCAATTTCTGGTTCACCTCCTGATTTGGATTGTTCTAAAAAACAAAAGGGCTTCCCAGAAAAATACTAGCTCAGTTTATTAACAGGTTGACACAAAGTTACTGGAGGGGTTGGGAGGGGGGTAGTTGAAGATGGGTTTCTATTTTTTTTTTTAAAGATTCATTTATTTGTTTGTTTGTTTGTTTGTTTGTTTATACACACAAGCACTGGGTACAGTCAGAAGCGCGGGAGGGTGAGAGAATTCACCAGAGCCAGAGCGGGGAGCAGAGCAGGCAGAAGGACCGAAGTACACTGCTGAGGGAGCAGCGGGCACGGCAGGAGAGGTCTGCGCGCCATGCGGGACCCTCCTCCTGTGGCCAGGGAGCAGCTGGGGATCGAACCAGCACCACATAGGTTGCAGGCAGCTTCGTAACCCAGCGCTCAACCGCTGCGCCACCGGGGAGGACCTGAAGATGGGTTTCTACAGCAAAATGTTATCACATGAAACCCACCTTGCCCTGGGTAGAGCAATTGTACACATCACAGAAAAAGTTTTCATTTTATAATAGACTGGAAGTGAGCCTTTGCCAAGAGCCAGTTGTTTAAATTTTCAATTTGAATTTTAAGCAGGATTATACATGCCCAAGAACATTATGCTATTTTTAGCTAATAGGTAGAATTACTGTGTCCACAACAGTTTGGAACAATCAGGAATAAAACTATTAAACAGCATCTCTCACCATGGTACCTGACCATTTGGCATTTCTATTTTCAATCTTTCCAGAGCTTCTGCATGAAAATACTTGTAAAGCACCCATGCTAAGCACAATACAAAGTTCAAATAGACACAGTTCCTACACTTCATTACAGATTTAAAACACATAAAGGAAAACAGATAAAGAATCTCAAGGTTAGAGCATTCCCGCCAAACTGCCATCCAGCCCCTAAGTGCCCACAGAAGATACATTAGGAAGCAATTGTCCTAAATCTGTCGCCCTCTAATACTTACACCCTCCTCTTTTAATAATGAGAGGGATAATGAAAATGTTCTAAAATTGACTGTGACAACAGATGCACAACTCCGAGTATATGAAAAGCCACCGAATTGTACAGCTAGATGGATGAACTATGTGCTGTATGAATTATAGCTCAATCTGTTTTAAAAAAAAAGAAGAGAAATTGCTCTTACTCTGATTGTTCTAGTTTTTTTCAGCTCATGTTGGAGGCTAGCTAGCTAAAGGCTGTACTAGTTTGGCAATGGTGCCTCAGTGGCCACCATTAGAAATCACTCTAATCTTAATTTCCCCTCCATATTCATCTTTCTTTCCCTAGTCTCTCTTCTGTTGCTATCCCAGTTCTTTTCCTGTTGTTCCACTGCTCTAACTGGGTCTTAGGTCTCTCAGGTATTCCCAAGCACAGTCTGTCCTAATTCACGGACCTCAGGATTAAACTGATCGCTGACCCTTAGCAGCTTGCCCTCCATGGCCCTCAGCAAGTCACATCTTTGCTCTCCTGTTGCTGTTCTAGTCTGTCCAATGAAGGGTTGAATTACTTGATCTTTCCAGCTCTCACATTCTCTGTGAAAAAATTCAGATAATGAACACTTACTTGGCCAATGGCATGCAAAGTCTCTGTCATTTTAGCCAAAAAGACATACATTTGGATTATTCAGTTGGTGACTAGCCACATGATGCAATCTTCCAAAGAATGGGATTTAAGATATTTATAAAACCATCAACATGGAGTCCTTATTTTTAAAAACCTAGCACTTCATCGGAAACAATTCAGAGCCCAATAAAGAATATTTGATCGTTTCTCTGGCCTTGTCTCCAAGGGTCCAATTTTGAATGAAAAAAAAAAAAAGCTTTTGCATGGTGGGACCCTGTTACTAAACCAAGGGAAGTAGATGGGGGGGGCAGGCAGCACCTTAACAACAGTGGTTCAACTAAACCTTAGAAGAAAGGCTTTGTTTAGGAAGTGGTAGAAAGATCTAACATAAAACAGCACCTCAACATACACTGTAAACCTGCAGAAATATGCTCAGAGAACAGTGAACACTGCAGGAATCCCTTTACCCTGGGCAAGTTGCAGCTTTTTATGCAAACCAGTTACATTCCCCCAACAAACCTCATAGAAATATGTAGTCACAAGTTTCCAAGACTACCAGTAGGCAAATTCACAGTATTGTTTCCATGTGCACACCATCAGAGATCAAAACCGAAAGGAACACATCAATTTCTCCTACACACACACACACACACACACACACACACACTCTCATGCACACACACACTCATGCACACACACAAGCACAGGAGAAACCATTTTCTTTGCAGAACCCACCTTTTCTAAGTTGTAGGTATGAAATGGATAAATATTGTTGCTAATAAAAGTCAGATGGTTTGCTCTACTGGAAGCAAACAGCACACAGAGAAATCATAAAAACAATAAGCCTAAGGTGTGTTTCTTGTGTTTAAGCTGAAGGCCAAACATGGAGTGAAATAAACTCCCTGTCCATTTGCATCCTTCTTTCCCACTCAGCCCAACAAGCTCTCAGGTTACCTCCCTACACTTCTGTCCCCATCAAAAAAGTCCAGTGCAGAAGGTGGCAGGCTCCTCTCTTACTTCCCTTCAGGCTCTTGGCCTGAGGCTCTGAACGGTGGGGGAGGACCAAGGTAGGCCCTCAAGGTAGGGCTCCCCACCTTGGGGATAGGCTCCCCACATATCCCCTTCTAGCCACCAACTCAGAGCACCTGCAGGGAAGGGGTCCCTTCCTCTACCTGAGTAACCCACCCACGAGGCCTAGGTGTCCCAGGAGCCCAGCGCTGCAGCCCTAAGGGACAAAGGCCGGACTTCCAAAGAGGAGGGGAAGGTGAAAGAAGTAGAGGACAATTTGAAAGCCCTGGCAAACAAGAGTGGGGGTGGGGTCTGCAAATACCAAGCCAATTCTAGGGGGCGGGGGGGGGGGGGGGGGGGGGGGGGGAGGGGGTGTTCCCAGAGGTAGCCAAGTTCGGTGGGTCAAGGCATAAGGGGGAGGGGGAGATTTAGTAAATTCCTCAGAGGTTAAGAATTAGAGTTGCTAGGGCACAGAAGCCAACAGGAAGGAGACTGCGGGTGGGCTGAGGCCCTGGGCAGAGAAGGGGGCAAGGTTCCTATGTGGGGAGAGGTGATGGCCAGATGGCCCAGGGGAGGCAGGGAAGGCAGGCGGGCACCTAGCCCCACGCGACACTCCCGAGACCTCCAGAGCAAAGTGCCGCGTGGGCTGGCAGAGTTGGGGAGGCGGTATTAGGAAAAAAGTCTGAGAACAGAACCAAAAGAGACGGGGGGGGGGGGGGGGGGGGGGAGGGGGACGGACGACGACGACGACGGACAGGGGACGGCGAGGGGGCCTGACCCCTCTCGGCCCCACCTCACCTAGCGCCGGCTCGGAGTCCAGGTCTAGTGTTGGGAAAGCGCCAGCTCCGGCTAGCCCCTCCGTCCCGCGCGGGTGATCACGGACACAAAGCGGGGCGCGCGGGAGAAGGGAAAAGGGGAGGAAGAGAGGGAGGGAGGGGAGGGAAGAGTGGAGGAGATGCCTGAGGCGCGAAGGGGGGAAGGAGGGGCGCCCTCCGCCCGGGTCAGGGGCGGGGCGTGCGGCTGGAGGCAGCGCCCGGCCGCCAATGGCCACCGCGCCGCCTGCACCCGGCGCGCCTCCGCGCAGCTCACCTCGGCACCTGGGCCGCGACCCCAGCCAATCAAGCGCCTTCGTTTGCACGCCCAGCCCCGCCCACTCGCCCAGCCCTGGAAGGAGCAGGAGAACACAAAGGAGGTCCGCCTATAGGGGGAGGGGATCCACGCCAGATTCAAGGCCCCCGGCCCCTAAGGCACAGTGTCACTCCCTCAGTGTGTCTCTGGGTACTTCACGGTCACCCCGATAAGGGCAGGGGACTAGGTATCATAAAGGTTTGGCCCTAGTTCTCTTCAGAGGTCGGATCTCTTCTCCCTGAGGTCCTGCTAACCAACGGCTACCCCCTCCCGTGCCAGGGCACCCAGTTCCAAGTCTTCGCCTCCGCTACCCCTTCCCCCTTTATCCAGTGGCCCCAATCTCAGTGCCTTCTCCCGTCGGCTGCTGCCCACTACTGGCATTGTGCTGCACTGCAGCCCTGATCAGCAGGGTCTGAGCACAGCCTTCTAGATGGATGCTCCCCTAGCTGCCCAAAGCCACTCCAGTCCAGAAGGACGACAGGCAGGAAGAGATTACCGGATTTGTCACCTAAAATAGCAAAAGGTCACACTTAGCATAAGTCTGAAGTTCCCAAATCACCTCTTCCTGCCGTTCTCCTACCTTCAGGTCTGTACTGGGCCACAATGGTAACTGACTGACCAGCCCGTTTCAGAGCAGCTGCAGCCTGCTCATGAGTTGCATTCCGCAGGTTCACTCCGTTCACCTGTGCAAAGAGAGGTGCTCTGAGCCATCCCTATGGCAATAAACAGGGTCCTCTGTAGCAGCACTTAGGAGTGGGAGATACCCATCCCATCCTATCCCATTCCTAAGCCTATTTTAATGCCTTTCTCAATATCCCATCCTTTCCTGACTAAGAGCAAACCTAAACGATACCACATCTTGGCTGTAATAGTTATCTTTGAGGGGGTTTAAATACCAACCAGAGTTAAGATCCAAGTATTTTTTTCCTCCTCAAGGACCTCTGATCTGGTCTCAGTCCCTATCCTTCACTAAGAACATCTATAAAGAGAATAAATTTTCTCCAGTGTTTAGTCCTTCCCCATCTCAAGAAGCATTCCTAGGACAAAGCACGGTCTCCCCTCCTCCCCTTTGGACTGGCACAGTTCCCATCCTCCCACCTCGCCATTTGCCTCCTCACCGATAAGATCCGGTCTCCCCTGCGCAGCTCCCCACTCAGGTCAGCTGGGCCTCCTGCCAGGATGAAGGAAACGAAAATGCCTTCTCCATCCTCTCCTCCTACGATGTTGAACCCCAGGCCTGTGGAACCCTTGTGCAGGATAATCTTGCGGGGCTCTCTGGTGAGAAAGGAGTGGAAGGGTCAGAACAAGAGAGGCCTAAATTGTTGTCCCTGTGAGGGCCAGCCTGGAACAGTCCATATTGTTGTAGAAGGGCATGGGTCCCAATATGTAAGATCTCCTGTTCCTCCCTTTCTCTCCCAAGACCTGCTTGGCTGCTATTTTCTGCCGGGCGCCAAGTTTCAGTTGCTCTTCCCTTCTTCCTGAGTCAACTTCCCAATGGGCAGTCCCCTCTACTCCCAGGACAACAAAGCCCTAACCTGGGCTCTAGAGACCATATCTCAGAACCCACCCACAGGTCCTCTTCCTCACCAGGTTCTCCTATCCTCCCAATCATGTGATAGATCCTGGGCCACAAGAAGGGGAACCAGTTAGTGGCAGTGGAATCACTCTGGGGCTCAGTGATTCCATCCACAAAAGGGCTCACTATCTTTATACAAGCTCCTCATAAGTCTCAGTATTCGACCCACCAACTGTGCTCCCCCTCCCTTCTCCAACAACAGATTCAGTTATAGCTCCCACTATCGACTCTTGCGAGGTGATGTGGGAGACCAGGATAAAGAAATCCCAGGCCCCCAAAAAGGAGCTTAGGAGCCTAACTAAGGAGAAGAAACAAACACATGAAAACCCTCACTAAAACTAACCATTTCTGAAAAACCCCTCTGAAATTGGTTGTGTATCATCAGGTGAGAGCAACAGTGGCTTGTTTATATTCATGCCAAGTGACTCCCAGCACACTGCCCCTTGCCCACTGCCTTCACTTTCAGCATCTTTCATCCACAGAGCCCCAAATCCAAATTTCCTCCTTTCTTGCTCCTAGTTCCCGAAGTGAGGCTCCCTCCCAGAGTCCAGGATGCTCTTGCTCAAGGCCCTCTTCTCTTACCTGGCATCCCCTCCAGGCCGCAGGGAGCGGAGTGGCCAGGCCCACCTCTGTGATGCCCTCCTCCAGGCGGAGGCCGAGGCTGAGCCCAAGCCCAAGCCGAGCGCCAAGCCGGAGCCTGAGAACTTGCGTGCCCTCTCCATGGCTCCTCTGGCTTTTCTTGGTGCACCTACCCTTCCGGCTCCACCTCCACCGTAGCTAGACCAGCAGCCTACCAGGCCCCACCCCACAAACCTGTCCCCCAGAACCCAGCCGGCCAGACCAGTTCCACAGCTGCTGCCTCCACCAAAGCGGGGCGGGGGGCGGGGCTATTCCTTAGAGGCTCGGCCAGCCTCCCAGCGTCCTGCCAACCCCAAAGACAGAACTGCTTTCTCCTATAATTTGCCACAAAGGCGGTTACAACTGTCTCAGGACAGGTCACTCCACAACCTCCACAGCCTCAGTCCTTTAAATGCTCCACCCCGCAGTTTCTGTCTTTTCCCACAGGGGCCACGCACTTGGCGCTCCCCCTGATGGTAGAACTTGTCCCTATAGCCACCTAAGCCTCTCCAGAGGCCCCAAGGGTTGAAAGAGGGCCTCAGACCCCCAAGACAAGAGTGATGAGGGCCTTATCCTTCTTTGCTGTGCACACCATTAGGAGGAGGTCTATGGCCAGCCAGAATTGGCTTCCTCTCCCCCCCCATTCCTATATAGGATGAAAGGGAGAGGGGGGAGGTCATCTTACCTGGTGAAGTCCTCCTCAGCCAGCATGTGCCTAGGGATAGGAGAGTAACGGGCTGGGGGGACCTGAGGAGGAGCAGGATAACTGACTTTGCTCTCCACAGCCCCAAGATAACCCAGGCTGGAATTATGGCTTATGTGGTTGTCAGCCAAGGCAGTAAAAGCTGGAATCAAGAAAGGGAGAGAAAGGTTTAGAGACTACTCTGTGAAGGTACCCTATCCCATCCCCCTCCAAGGACTGTCCCCCACACTCCACTTCAGTTGCAGAGACCAAGGCATGTGGATTCCTCAGGCCTCTCTTCCCTACTCCACCCCCTAGGATTTCTCCTCCATAGTCCCTTCTGAATCCTGCACTCACTTCTGTAAGTCTTAGAAAGAACTGAAGTCAAGGCAGTCTACAAAGAACGGCATGACTAGAGGTGTGACTAATAATAATCCCTCACATCTCTATAGCCTAATACAGTTTTCCAAGGGCTTTTGCATCCATGATCTCATTTGATCCTGCAGCAGTCCTATGAGGAAGGCAGCACACATATCATTAGCTCCTTTTTGCTAAAAAGGAAACTAAAGACAGGTGAAAGGAATGTGTTCAGGGGCACCGGGCTCTAAGGGACAACACTGGGATTTGGACTCGGTGTTTCTGCGCACTAGTCCTATGCTCACTCGCTCTTGCTCACTCTCTTTGAACAAGGGGTATGAAACCCTTCCCCTCCAGAAACCAAGGGACAGGGGCTTCAGGCCAGGCACAGGGCAAATGGGTACGTACTGCTGGCGTAGTCAGGGGGTGCGTACATGTCGTTCAGGTGGAGGGTGCCTGGTTTGGCCACCTTTAGATAGACCATATCAGATGTGTTCTTCAGCGAGGCCACAGCTTCCTCATGCCTCACATCCTGCAGATTAGTGTTGTTCACCTAAAAGACAGGCCTTAGGGCTAGCAATTGGGAGAAGGGGGTGCCTCTCCAGGGAATCCTGATGGGGTGCCATTTCAGTGAAAGTCAACAGCATTCTAACAGACACCCAAGCCTAATGCTGTGAGTAGCAGAGGTGTGAGCTAGGGGTAGGGCAGGTGAGGGGTCCTGGCCATCAAAAGAACTAGGATCTTGGTATATGGGTACATGCAGGTCAGATGTTGCTCTTGACATTCCCCATGATGCCTTGTCCCTGAGTGAGGTTCAGGTGGAATGAGAAGCTGCTGGAGCGCCACCATCCCACCCTACCATTTGGGTATCCCTGTAAAGGTTTTCTCACCGCCAGCAACCGGTCCCCAATCTGTAGGCGTCCATCCTTCTGAGCAGCACCCCCCTCGATGATCTTGGTGATGTAGATGCTGTTGTCTCCTGGGATGTGCTGGTTGCCAATGCCCCCAGCGATGCTGAACCCCAGGCCTAAGCAAAGCCAGCAGGGAGCGGAGAAGGGTCACAAGGAGAAATCAGAGTGCTCAGTCAATCCCAAACCTAAGCCCCCAGCCAACCCACTGGGCCCACAGGAGGTCCCCCCAGGAATTCTAAGCACTATGCTGCCATGCCAAGGTCAGTAAGGGTGAGATGTGAGGCCAAGAGAGAAGGCTGAGAGCTGGAAGGGGGAATCAAGTAAGGGGTCCAGTCATTCCCTTCCACTTCCTAGAGGGTCACCAGCCAGGGGACTCTGGCCAGAGGACAGGAACACAGAAGGCCACACCTTTGGGTCCTTTGAGCAGGTTGACCTCCATGATGGTCTCAGGTGGAGGCTGTCGCCTCCGAACCACCAACCGCACCACAGGGCCTGCCTCCTTCAGCGCCTCCACGGCCCGGCTGTGCACCACCTCCGACACGTCCACCTCATTCACCCGCAGCACACAGTCATTCACCCTGCAGGGGAAGCCCGAGAGGCATGACACTGCACCACCGCCCCTCCACCCACTCTCCCACCTCCTCCTCCGCCTCCCCTTGCCTGGCCTCCCCTTCCCGCCACCCTCCTCCACTATCTCTCCCCCTCTCAGATCTATTGGGAGGGTCATCCTGCCAGGGGGCCCTCCTCCCTGCATCTTCATCCTTCTCCTGCCATCCCCAGCCTTGCTTCCAGGGCACCTCACCCTAGCCTCCCATCCATGGCAGCTGCTCCACCGGGGATGATCTTGGTAATAAAGATGCCAGGGTCATCGGGGACATGGGGGTTGTCGATGCCACCTGCGATGCTGAAGCCCAGGCCCGAGTTGCCCTGCAGAAGTGGGTAGAGAGGCACGGTACTCACTCAGAGGGTATGAGGGGGGTTCTGGACACACCATCTCCCCCTGACCCCCACATCAGGTTCTCCAGGCTTCTGGGGGCTAGGGGGATTGTGGCAGGCTGCAGCACATTCATCAGAAATCTGGAGGCTTCCTAGCCTGTCTGACCATTCTGGTGTGGAAGCCTCAGCAAGGCCATCCCCTCCCCAGTTGCCTAGTCCTCAGTGAGCAAGGTCAATTAATATTTGTTAGTTGGTTGATTGATGCAGTGATGTGGACTGTAAGAGCCACCGTTTCCCCATCCTCTCATGCAGGTTCCCCCATGGGTCCTGAGACAGGTTCAGGTTCCTCCCCTCTCCTGGCTCCAAGCCTCCCCTCCCCACAGGCAGACTTACCCGCTCAAGAACTATCTCCTCATACTTGAACATGCCATCGCTGCCATTCACCTGGGGGAAGACACAAGCGGTTTCCCAGGGGCCTCCTGCCCTCCCTGCTCCCCAGTCAACCTGTTCCTCCCCTGCTCCTGAGTAAGAGAGCCAAAATCAACCCCAGGATACCTCTTGACCACAGGTGGGGACAGGCTGAGCCTGAGGAAGCCATCCACCTCCCCTTGCTTCCAGCCATATCAGACCAAACCCAATCATTCATTTAGCCCAAATCAATTTGGGGTTGAGCTGGTTAGTAGCACATTCACTGACAGGCTGAGTTACAGAGCCCTGGGGTTCACTAGGAATGATGGAGGGCTAACCTGAGGGGGTGGCAAAAATGCAACACAGCAGGCAAACCACACCTAGCACCCCAGGGGACACCCAGTCACCTGGCCAGGGACCCTCAACCCTTCTGAATCACAGCTCTCCCTGACTAGGGGATGACGGACTCTCCAAACCCCCAACTCCTCCCCCCATGTCAGAGTTGGAAGGACACCATCTTGTCCAACCCCCCTCATGTGACAGATGGTAATACTGAGACCCAGAGAGCATGAGGCTAGTGCCTAAGGGCACACTGGGAGTTAGTGGAGGAGCAGAGGACAGAACCTGGATCTCTAGATGCTCCTTTGATGAAAGCAAGCTGCCAAGGTCACTGATGTTTTGGCCACTCATCCCCCTCCCCAGCAGAGCCCATGGAAAAAAGGAAAATTGCCCTTTCAGAGTGTCTTGTGCACTGTCACTATCTCTGTGTCCCTGGCAGCCCAATTCCTGAAATAAGCAGAAAGATTTCAAGTCTGAATCCATTTTCTACCAGGGTGCTTGATCCTGAACCCTTCCCATTTCCCAGCAAAAACAGGCCAGGGGAGGATCTGGTCAGGAGTCAGAAGTAACACTGGGGCTGAGACAGGAGCAGAATGGACAAGACTACCCAGAAGGGAGAAACTGATGGATACCCCATGGACTAACTGCCAACAGAGTCTGGCCTTCAACCTGCAGTGGCCATGGGAGGAGAGGCAAACGGAGGGGTCATGGGAGGAGAGGCAGTTTGTCTGACCAACCCTCAGTGGTGGCCTCCCAGATAGGACATACTTGTGGCCATTGATGAGTTGAAAATGTGATTCTGGACAGACAAGTCACGCCTGCTCCCTGGCTCCCTCTCTCATCCCCAAGAATGGAGGAGCCTCTTGCCTGTCTCAGCAGGTATCCCATGCCCCTCCCCCACCTTTCCCTGGCTTCAATGCCCCTTTCCCGTCTCCACAGGTAGCCCGTGCCCCTCCCCCACCTTTCCCTGGCTTCAATGTCCTTTCCTGTCTCCACAGGTATCCCCTCCCCCATCTTTCCTGGGCTTCATTGCCTCTTTCCTGACCCCTGGTCTTTTCCTCAGAGAGGATATCTGCAAATCCAGGATGGAGGCTCCTCCACAGCCATGTTCTGCTTCTCCCCTCCCACCCCCAACCCATGCAGCTTTGCCTCTAGGAAGCAAAGAGAAGGAGAGCCGGCTGAATAGTTATGCCTCCCCCATTTCTGGGCCCAGGCCCAGGACTTTATGCCCTGCAGCCCTAGGAGTTGGTGAGAATCCTCCAGATGCAGTCCCACTCTGGTCCCAGATCCCAGAGAGAGGAACCTATGGCTCCTCAGAGTCCCAGATCACCACATCTGCCTAAAGGCCATGCAATAGACACAGAGGCAGGACACATATGCAGCTTTTGTATGCATCTGCTGTACCATGTGTGCCCACATGTGATGAGCCATGTTTTCAACCCGGCTTCCAGCAAGACCCAGAGGCTCCTGGCTCCCACTGGTCCAGCCTCCAGCCTCCCACTGCCGCCCTCAGAGACCCTGCTCCTCCAGCCAGGAGTCATCCAGGGATCATCCTTGATACAGAAACCTTGGCCAACTGGCCCACCCTTGGGAATGACACTTGTCTCCCTGCAGAGCAAGGCAAGCATGAGAGAGTGTTTGCAAGGATAGGCCCCCAGGACAGAGGGGGAAGAGAGAGCAGGGACTCACTGAGAGTGTAAGAGGCCAAGGCAAAGGACACAGGAAGCAGTAAGTGTGGACAGAGAGAAGGCCAGAACTGAGGTCTCTTCTCCCCAGGAGGTCCCCACCTTTGCTTCTAAGTGAGAGCACATCCTATCCCCAGAGGAAGATAAAAGTGGCCAGAGTGGTCATCAGCTCGGTGCAGTCAGCACCTGCCCTCCAGCAAAGCCTTCTTCTCTTCTCTCCCTACCCTGGGGGCTGCAGAGCAGAATAACCAGACAGGCCCTCCACCATGCGTGCCAGGGACCTGGCTCTGCCGGCCCAGCCTCCATTTTGCTGCTTCTCCCACAGATGCTCCTTCCATTTTCTAAGCTGGCAGTTTAGGCTGGGAGTGGAAGCCGGAGTTGTGCCCAGCACCCAGGGGTTCCCAAGCTGTGCCAAATCAGGTTTGGGGAGGCAATTTCCCCCACATCTGAGGGTACCCAAGGGGGTCATGCCCCACTGGGGCCACCAGAGCAGCTGCCCCTTGCCTGGCTCCAGGCACCAAGCCTGCTCTGGATCAAGGAAGCTTGCTCAGTTCGCCCCACATCTACCCCCCCCCCACCCAAAAACACACACACTTAAGAGCTGCTTGGACAAAAGAGTCCATCCTTCTCAGCAGCAGCCTCTCAGCCTTGCTTGGGACTGTCTCCCGTCCACTCCCCCTCCCCTCCCTCGCCTGTCAAGAGCTTCTCACCAGGGACACCACACACACACACACACACACACACACACACAGAGAGAGAGAGAGAGAAAGAGACAGAGAGAGACAGACGGGGGAGATAGAGTCAGAGACAGAAACAGAGAGGGAGATACACGCGTGCACACACTTGCAGCCGCATACACATACACACTTGCTCATGCACATACATGTAGCCACACAGGAAAACACAGCTCATCCCTGCAGCCTTATGTACAGAGACACCTTCACATTCACAGAGATATCCCCACATGTCCATGTGCACGTTCACACACAAAGAGACTGGGACTGAGAGGGACCCATGGCATCGAGGGATGAAGCTCAGAAAGCCCCACATGGGCTCTGCCACATTGCTTCACAGGATCTCCATTGCCCTCCTCCAAACACCTCAACATACATACATACACACGCACATATGTGCCCCCCCACGCACAACACCATACTCCCTCCTCCCCTCCTGTGGAGACATACACCACACACGGCCCCCGCAAAACCTACCGCCCCCTGCCAGACACAGAGGCACCGCTAAGCCCCCGCACTGAGACAAACCCAATTCCCTCACATAGAAAAATGTGCCCCTCCGCCATACCTTCACCTCCTGACACACACAGCTCTTCCCAAACCCCTCCAAATGGAGACCCCCCCCCCAAACAGGAATACACAGGAAGCCCACATTTCCAATGGCCTTTTTGGCTCCGCAGCAATGCTAGGGCTCAGGGCTCACTACCTTGGAGCCCCTTCTGCACCTCAGGCCTCTAGGCCCCCCACACTCCAGCCCCTCTAGGTTACCCCACAGACACCTCCCCCACCGCCACCACGCTTGTCCATACCTGCTCATACCAGTCCCGGTTGGTACAGGTACACTCGGGCCACCAGCCGGGGCCGCTGCCGTTGAGTTTGGGGGTGCTCTTGCCTGGAACTGGCTTAGGGGGCACTGGCCCCACATCTCGGCCGGTGGGGATGAGCTTGGCCTTGGTGCGGGGGGTAGGGGTGGCCCCCGCCTGCGAGGGCAGGGTCTGTGAGCTGTAGCCCCCATAACCTGCGCTGGCTCCATTGCCCCCACCTGGCCCATAAGGGTCGGGCACCTGCCAGTCCCCATAGCCAGGAGGCTCCAGGCGCCGCAGGGCGGCCAAGCGGGTCACCTCGTAGCACTCGGGGCACTTACAGCAGTGCTGGTGCTTGTGCATAGCACTGCCCCCCGCAGCCCGGACTCCCCAGCCCACGCCGGCTTCCACTCCACCGCCTCCAGGCTCCCGGGCACACTCACACTGCTCGGACCAGGAGGGGGGGGTACCCGTGGGGGCGCCCTGGCTGAGCGGGGCCTGGGGCCGGGCGGGCGTCCGGGGCCTCTGCCCCCACGCTGCCCCGCACCCACGGCTCCCCCTCCAGCACTGGCGGCTCCGTGTCGCCCGTCGTGGCTCCTGGGCCAAGGCCCAGCGGCAAAGAAGGAGCGGGAGCCTGGGCAGAGAGAGGCTGGGCACAGCGAGGACCGCTCCTGCACTGGTCCCCAGGATGAATCTGAGTGGAGTCAAGAGCATCTCTCCCCGGCTCCCTTCTCAGTTGATTCCAGCCAATCAGCACACAGAGTCAGGCAGCGGCAGCGGCAGCGGCAGGAATGCTAAACAGCGGCTTCTTAAAGGTACAGAGGCAGAGGCGCCCCCCAGGCTCAGCCCCATTTCCACGGATTTGTGGGCTACCGCCGACCCTGGGATAGGGGCAGGGAACTTGGCCACGGGAGAGCTCAGCCGCCAATTTCATGGCCCCGTATCCCCAATCTCAAGCCGGTCCTCCACCCACTGCACCCCACCCCACTTCCAAGAGGGAGTTGCAGGGAAATGATCAATGAGTCCCCAAGCTTGCTCTGAGCTGGGTCCACCAGAAGTAAAGACCTGAGGCAGCAGAGCAGATGGAAGGGACTTTGGAACAGGGCCTGGAAGGTGCTCTCTTCTAACAGGGAACCACAGTGGGAAGCTTATGAGACTGCTCTTCTGTCAGCACCTCCTTGGGGCTATTGTTCTCTCAAACCTCTAGGCCCAAAAATGACCACAACCTCACACTTGATCTGCTCCCTTCACCCTTGAGGTATTCAAGCCTAGAACAGGAGGAAAGGAAATCCCTAAGTCCTTGTCTCTGACCCACAATCTCCTGTCTCCACCACCCACAACCACATGGTTATGATGGGGCAAAGCACTTCAGGATGCCAAAAAGAAAGAGTCCAGGGTAGGAGGAAATGATCAAAAGTCAGAGAAACCATTCCAGGGGTCTGAGGAAAACCTTGGAAGTATCTGTCCAAGAACATCTTGTTAGCCAATTCTGGCTCAGCCTTTTAGGGGGGTGGAGGAAGAATGACATGCTAGAAGGTTCTATCATTTTCTGTTCTTGTTTTGTCATTAGCTTAGCTACCAATTATTGCATCTTTTCAAAGTCCTAAGTGCTTTTCATGCAAACAAAAAAACCCTGCTGAGGTGCCACTATTATTATGTTGATCTTTCCAATGAGACATTGAGGCCCAGAGATGTTAATACAGCTATTAGCTGCAAGTGACAGAATCAGGATGCAAATCCAGGCCATTTGACTCGAGTCCATGCTCTGAACCTCTCTAGTATAAACAGGTCTATTCAAAGTTCTCCTGCAGAACTCAGATCTCAATTCAATTTAACAGACATTCATTGTATATCTACTCTGCAAGACCTTGAACTAGGTACTAGGGATACAACAATTCATTCTTATTTCAACTCATGGAGCACCTTACTATGTGCAAGGCACTGTTCTAAAATTGGGGAATATAGCAGCAAACAAAACAAAACACAACAAATCCCTGCCTGGGTTGGGGAGGGGGCTTACATTCTAGAGAGAGGACAGACAAAAATTAACATGATAAATAAGTGAATTATACAGTATATCTGGTGATGAGTGTTGTGGAAATAAGAAATAGTAGGGAAGAGGGGCCTCCCTGGTGGTGCAAGCGGTTAAGTCACAGCACTATGAAGCTATCTGCAGCCACTGCAACGTGAGTTCGATCCCCGGCCAGGGAGCTACCCACAGGCTCAGCAGACCTCTCCTGTCTCACCCACTGCTCCCCTCAGCAGTGTATTTCAGTCAACCCACCTGTTCTGTTCCCCATTCTGTCTCTGGTTAATCCTCTCACCACCCACACCTCTGACCCCAGCTCTTGTATGTATAAATAAATAAATCTTTAAAAAAAAAAAAAAGAAATAGTAGTGCAGAGTAAGAAGGATTGAGAGAACTAGGGGATGACACAGAGTTGTGAACATTTTCCATCAAGATTTTTATCCCCACATTTTAATATGAAAGATTTTATTTTATTTATTTATTAAAGATTTATTTACTTGCAAACCTGAAATTTCTTTCTTTTTCTTTTAAAGATTTACTTACCTATGCATACAAGGATGGGGCACAGGCCAGAGGTGCAGCGTGGTGAGAGGATTCACCAGAGACAGAGTGGGGAACAGCACAGGCAGATTGACTGAAATATACTGCTAAGGGGAGCAGGGGGCAAGTCAGGAGAGGTCTGCTGCGCCATGTGGGTAGCTCCCTGCCCGGGGATCGAACTTGTGCTGCAGGGGCTGCGGCTAGCTTCATAGGTTGCGTCTTAACCCCCTGCACCACCAGGGAGGCCCTGAAAGATTTTAAACATACAGGGCCTCCCCTGGTGGTGCAGCGGTTGAGCGCTGGGTTGTGAGGCTGATTTTAAACATACAGAGTAATTGAAAGAATTTTACAGAGAACGAACACCAAATTGCCACCTTGATTTTATTAACATTTTATTATACTTCATGCTTTATCACATATCTATCCTCCAGATAGCCTTTCCAACTTTTTTAAAACTGAAAAATTGCAAACATATAGAAATGCTTAAAGACTAGGACAATGAACACCTATATATCATCTTCAGAGTCAACAACTGGTAATGTCTTGTTTTATTTCCTCTATCAATCTATTTACTCTTTTTTCTGAACCATTCCAATGCAAAGTACAGATTTCATTACACTACTCCCCTGAATACTTCAGCATGAATTTTGTAAGAATAGATTTTCCTGGGCCTCCCTGGTGGCACAAGGAGTTGTCTCAGCACTATGAACCTATAGGCAGTCACTGCAGCAAGAGTTCGATCCCCGTCCAGGGAGCCAACCCACTTGGGGTAGCGGACCTCTCCTGTCTCACCCCATGCTCCTTTCAGCAGTGTATTTCAGTCAATCCACCTGTTCTGTTCCCCACTCTGTCTCTGGTGAATCCTTTCACCCCCCTCCCACCTCTGGCCTGTACCCCAGCTTTTGTATGCATAAATAAATAAAGTAAATCTTTAGGAAAAAAGAATGCATTTTCCCATATAACCACAATATTATCATGACATCTAAGACAATTAGCAATAATTTCATATTGTGTAATATCTAGCCTATATTTGAATTTTCCCAAACCTGTGTTTTATATTTTTAAAGAGAATCTAACAAAGACTCCCACCTTGTATTTGTGCCCAGTCACTATTGAGAGCAGCTCCAATTTAAAAAAAAATATTCTGAAATAGTTACAGATTTACAAGGAAGTTGCATAGATAGTACAGAAGGCCTGTGTATCCTCTCACGCAATTTCCCTCAATGATAACATCTTGCCTAATTGCTTCGTATCAAAACCAAGATTTTTGAGCCACTCTGGTGGCACAAAGGGTTAAGCACAGCACTGTGAAGCTATCCCCAGCCTGTACAGCTCAAGTTAGAATATGATCCCCAGCCCACCAGGGAGCTACCCACATGGTGCTGCAGACCACTCCTGTCTCACTTGCTGCTTCCCTCAGCAGTGTATTTTTGTCAGTCTGCCTGTTCTGCTCCCCACTGTGTCTGGTGAATCCTCTCACCTCCCCTCACCCCGCACCTCTGGCCTATACTCCAGTTCTTGTACGCATAAATAAAAAAATCTTTTTTAAAAATAAAGTTTAAAAACCAAGATTTTGACATTGATACAATGCATGTATAGTTCCAGGACATTTTACCACATGCAGAGATTCCTATAACAACCACTGCAATAAAGATACAGAACTATTTCATTGCTGCAAAGATCTACTGTTGTCATCAGGAGGGAAATGCAAACTCCTTGCTTTCGTCTAACTCCTTTTACCCTGTCCCATTTATTGTAAGCTTGTCTTAAATATTCCCCCCACATACAATGAAATCCACACCAGACAATGCTATATGTATTGTTTCAACCATCAAACATAATACACACAACTTAAGAGAAGAAACATCTATTGCATTTACTTACATTTTCCCTCCTTCTGTTCTTCCTTCCTAATGTTCCAAGATTTGCTCTTTTATCATTTCTTTTTTGTTCTGAGAACTGCCTTTAGCCATTCTTTTAGGATAGTAGGGGCTGGCGACATATTCTCTTAACTATCCTTTGTCTGAACAACTTTGATTTCTCTCTCATTTCTGAAGCATATTTTCATCAGAGCATTTAGGGTTGATGGTTCTTTTCTTTTGTCACTTGAAATATGCTGTGCCACTTCCTCCTGGCTTCCATGGTTTCTGATGAGAAATCCGCTGACATTGGCATTATTTTTTCCCTGTAGGCAAAGTGTTATTTCTGTTGTTATTTTCAAGATGTTTTCTTTTCAAAAGATGTTTTGTTTTCAAAGTTTGATTATGATGTGCCTAGGCACGGATTTCTATGAGTTTACCCTGTTTTGTATTGACTCAGTTTCTTGAATCTGTTGGTTTATGTTTTTTGCCAAATTTGGGGATTTTCCAGTGATTATTTCTTGAGCACCTTTTTCTTTTTAAAGATTTATTTATTTTATGCATACAAGAACTGGGGTGTAGGCTGAAGAGGTGAGTGGGGTGAGAGGATTCACCAGAGACACAGTGGGGAGCAGAACACACAGGCTGACTGAAATACACTGCTGAGGGGAGCAGTGGGTGAGACAGGAGAGGTCTGCTGTGCCATGTGGGCAGCTCCCTGGTGGGCCAGGGAATCAAACTCATGCTGCCGAGGGTGTGGATTGCTTCATAGTGCTGTGTCTTAACCCCTTGCACCACCAGGGAGGACATCAGATTGGGTAATTTCTAATGTTATATTTTCAAGTTCACTGATTATTTGCTCTGTCCTCTCAGTCTTGCTGATGAGTCCATCCACTGAGTATTTTAGTTTGGTTATTATATTTTTCTGCTGTAAA